TTTTAAAGTATTTTGGGAGAGAGAATGCACAGGGGGGCAGAGGGGATGTTATGCTAGAAGGTGCCAATGACTTACTAGCTGCATCTTTGATCTGTAGACAATTACAAAGGTGGCTGAACCTGACCTGTAGCCTAACAAGCTATAAAGGACTCCAATTTACCACAATTCAGTTGTCACCAAAATCAATAGGGCTGACCCACTGATGCTAAGAACATTCCATAATGTTTTTCAGTTGATCAGAAACAGACAACTAGAGAAATGCTAACAAGCTGAACATAACAAGACTCTGCTTTGTCCAGATAAGTCAATGCAAATCCCTGTATGGATACACTTAAAATAATTTTACACCTCAGTTTATATTTCTATAGAGTAAGTTGGATTTTAAAAGCGATTTTAAACTTGTGAAGCTTATATGAACAAACATAAGAACACAAGAGCATATGGGGTCAGATCACAGGTCCATCTAGCCAAGTGTCAGTCTTCCGATAGTGGCCAATGACTGGTGTCCCAGAAGAATGAATAGGAAATCATCAGTTGATCCATTCCCTGTGTTTCATTACCAGCTTCAGGAAAACAGAGGCTGGAGACACCATCCCTGTCCACCATGACTGATAACCACTGATGGACTTTTACTCCATTATTTACTTTTTTTAATCCTGTTATAGTCTTGACCTTCCCAACATCCTCTGGCAAAGAATTCCACAGATTATCTACATGTTATGTGAAGAAATTATTGTTTTAAACCTGCTGCCTATTAATATCATTTGGTAACCCCTAGTTCTTGTGTTTGAAGTAATTAGCACTTCCTTGTCTGTTTCTACACCAGTCATAATTTTGCATACTTCAGTCATATTCCTCTCCTCTTCCCCCGGTCTCTTGTACAAACTGAGAAGTCTCAGTCTTATTAATCTCACCTCATAGAGAAGCTATTCCATACCCATCATGATTTTCATTGCCCTTTTCCAGTTATCTTTTTGGGTATGGGGCAAGCATATTTGCATGCAGTATTCAAGATATGGGCATATCATGGATTTGTATGAAGGCAATAGTATATTTTCTGACTTATCTATCTCTTGATTCACAATATTCTTTTTTGTTGACTGATACTGCATACTGAGTGGATGTTTTCAGCTAACGATTTTCCATGACTCCAAGATCTCTTCCTTGAGCGGTAAAATATAGTTTAGACTCCATTACTTGATATTATGGCAAAGATCTGGCTATGCCTTAAGGGTCTGGCACTTCCTAGCAGTTGGTGTTTGTGTCAGGCTCACTGTGACCTTCCACACAGCCTCTAGCCCTTTGCTAGAGGCAAAGGTCACAGCCTATCCTCATCATAGGTTAAGCCATAGTTTAGGTTAAAACCCCTACATAATCCTGGTCCCCCCTCCCCTCAGGGGCAGGCTCTGTAGCTGCATGAGAAGGGCAGGGGGAACCCAGGCCCACCCACTACTCCAGGTTCTGGCCCAGGGATCCAAAGGCAGCAGCAGCAGCAACTAGCAGCGTTTCTTCAACTCCCAGCTGTGTCTACACTGGCACGATCTTGCGCAAAAGCGGCCGCTCTTGCGCAAAAACTTGCTGCCTGTCTACACTGGCCACATGTTCTTGTGCAAGTAAACTGACGTTCTACTGTATGAAATCAGGGCTTCTTGCGGCAGAACTTTAACACACCTGCTCAGGAATAATTCCTTTTGCGTAACTGTTCTTGCACAAGAGGCCATGGTAAACAGGCAACATGAATTTCTTGCACAAGAAAGCCCTATGGTTAAAATGGCCATCAGAGCTTTCTCGTGCAAGAGAGCATCTACGCCAGCATAGATGCTTTTGCGCAAAGCATATGCCAGTGTAGATGCTCTCTTCTGGAAGAGTTTTTGCAGAAGAACTCTTCCACAAAAGAGTTTTTACGTGAGAATGCGTCAGTGTAGACATAGCCCCAGTCGTTCCCTATCCACTTCCCCAAACAATTCCCCCTAGTACCTTCTTCCTAGATCCTGAAGAATCCTTCCAGCTCCTCCACAATCCCAATTTCTAACTCTCTCAATGTACCTCTTCACACTCAATCTTTAATCTTCTCATCCACCCTTCCCAGGAGGGCTGGGAAGAGGGGTGTCTTTTAAACTGGCTACAGCAGGCCTTAATTGGCTGCAGATTCCCTGATTAACTGGCTACTTCAGGCAAGCTCTTAATTGGCCCCAAGCGCCTGCCTGCCTTGATTATGTGGCAGCAGTGCCTGGCCAGTTCACTCAAGGAACAGAAAACTATTCACCTAGTTTCCTGTATATTTGTCCTCCACCAAACTATAGTAGCCTGCTGCCCTGGGTCTGTCACAATGGCTACGTGTAGATTGCATCCCTTTTTCGTAAGAGCCGTTTCCGAATAAAATAAAGCTGTTTCCGAAAGATCCTTTATCCCTCTTAAAATAAGGGATAAGGGATCTTTTGGAAAAGGGTTTATTTTCCAAAAGATCCGCGTCTAGACTGGCTCTTTTTTCCGGCAAAGCTCCGTGCCGAAAAAAAACGGCAGCCATTTTTATGCTAATGAAGCGGGGGAGATTTAAATCCCCTCTTCATTAGCAATTGCGATACGTATAATTTGCATCCCTTTTCCAAAAAAGGGATGCAATCTAGATGTAGCCAAAATATATAGTTGGGATTAGCGTTCCGTTGTAAGCTGTTTGCTTTTGCGGGTGCTTAGAAGAGATTCCAATGCTGCCCAGATGATTAGCAGAGAGTTCGCAGCTAGGTTTGTGTTTCTCCAGGTGATGCACATTTATAGGTGCCTTGATGAACATAAAAAAAAGTATTCTGCACTCAGATGGTAAAAGTCCACATGTGGATGGAAAAAGAGTAGAGGGAGCATTGGTTTGGCATTATATTTTCCAGTGTACATTACTTTTCATTTGTCAGCATCTGCCATTTTACTGCTCGGTAACCCGGTTTTGAAAGATCCTTTTGTATCTCTTTACATAGTCTGCCTGGGACTTAACTATCTGGAGTAGTTTTGCATTATCTGCAAATTTTGCAGCCTGTTTACCCCCCTTTTCAGGTCATTTATGAAGATATTGAATAAGATAGGTCCCAGAACAGACCTCTGGGGGACAGCACTATTTACCTCTCCATTCTGAAAGCTGTCTATTTAAACCTACCCTTTGTTTTCTGTCTTTTAACCAGTTCATGAGAGGCCCTTTCCTCTTATCCTATGGCAGCTTGCTTTACTTAAGAGCCTTTGATGAGGGACCTTGACAAAGGCTTTCTGAAAATCTAAGGTTCTAGTTCTAGACAGAGAGGGTCCCATATCTGTTGTCCTTTACCATGTGTTGTCATTTACACCAAAGTGAATGGTGAATGCTTTTTGATTTGCTAGTTTTTAAATCTACTTAGCACACTAGCACAAATGATACAGTTGCAGTACTGCAATAATCATTTGTAGTGTGTTTTAAAATACTTTTGTCATGTATCTGTGCTTCGCTGTGCTATGTGTTGCTTTGTATCATTATGTGGTGCTGAGCTATCTATGTCTCTGTATTTCAATGTGCCCTTGTCTGTGTTTTTCTGTTCTTGTGCCCTTCTGGTGTGTGTCTTTGTGTTGTCTTTTGTGCCCCTCTGTTGCATGTTGCTGATTTGTGGAACAATATGCCATGTTACTTCAGTGTATTTCAGTCACTTTATACAAATATTATTTATATTGCAGCAGTGGCCTGTAGTCCTCAAGATGGACCAGGACCCCATTGTTGGGTGCTGCACAAACACAAAATTGCATGGTGCATTGCTGTGCTAGGTCTCTTTGTGCCACAATGCTGCCTCAATGGTGCGGCCGTGCCCATGCTCTGCATTTGCCTGTGTGTTTCTGTGTCTTTCCCTGTGTCACTGACTGCCTACCTGTATTACAGCATGAGCCACCGCACTGTTTTATACTGCTGTGCCACCTGCGTGTGTGGACCTGATACGCCTGTGCCTTTGTTTCCGCCTGTGTACCGGTGAGCCAGCCTTCTGTGGTTAAGATAGGAGGGGGCGCGCCCAGATCCTGGCCCCGCCATGCCAAGTCACTTGCTCAGGAACGGGAGCTGTGCTCGCCCCGCTGCTCTGTCTGGTTCTTTGTCCCTGGGCGGTGCGTGCGCCTCTTTGTGCCAGGGAGAGACTGGGTCTGGGGGCGGCAGGAGGCTGCTTTCTGCCCTGCTGGCTCCTCCCGGGAGCTGTCCGGAGCTCCCGGGCCAGGGGCGCGGCGTGCGCCTGTTCCTGGGCTGCGTCTCCTGCGCTCCTCCCCGCGCACCATTTTCTCTCCCCGCAGCCAGGCGCAGGCAGAGCAGCAGCGGCTCCCCCCCCCTCCCCTCAGATCCCCTTTGCTACCGCGGCAGGGTTTTTATTACAGCGCGGGCGGCTCGG